ACTGCTCGTTCTCGTAAAGCCAGTGCGACCAGCCTGGTTTGTAGGGAATGTCAGGGTGGCTGACATGCTTCGATAGAATTGGATGGTTGTACAGTTGTTTGCACTTTGCAAACTTAGTGAACCAAACCATTTTGGGTTTCCAAAGTGCCTTTATATCCAGAGAGGTATTTGCCAGCATAAACACGGAGCATCAGTGGGGTTTATCACTTTTACACGTACCTTGTACGCAGTGTGGTTCTGTACTGGTGGTGTGGGGGTTGTGTACTCGCATAGCTGTAGATGTTAGACTTCCCTTGGACTCGGCTCTTCCCAAACAGGCGGCGACACTGGAGACGTGAAGGGCGAGGCTGTTGCGAAGAGACTCGCTTCCAAACCCCGCTGGATGTTCCGCAGTGTGTATGTCCTGGAAAGCATTTTAATCGAAATACTGGGTTTAGCTCTGGTTCTTGGTCTCTGCACGCAGCCGAGAGCAGCGAGATGTCACGTGACGCTGCTCGTGTCCATCGTCACTGAACAACAGGCGGCGGAGGGGCGGCGCTGGGGATGGAAGCAGCGCTTGAAGTGCTCTGTGCTCCAAATCATGTGTGGGGAAAACTAAATCACGGAATCGCTTGTGAAAGCTTAAATCTCCCTGATTTTAATAGGCTGTAATCGTTTTTATTGTGGTGATTGGTGAGATAACTTTTGCCTTTCCAAATACTGGAAATTCCTGGTGGATCTAGCCGAAATGGAATCGGGACCATGGTTCTGGGGCAGGTTCGTGCTGTTGCGGTTTCCAGGTTGCCAGTGTGATGTTATGACTCTCTTCCTGTAGCCTTGTGTCTTTTCATGGAAAAAAGAATTCCCAGTGCAGCAAGTTGTTTTCTCCAGAAACATTCGCCTGTCACCTTTCTCCCGCGTTTGTAATGGCTTTGCTCTTGCGGATCTGCGCTCTGTGTTCCAGGACATCTGCTCTGCCGGGTTGCTGGTGCGATCCACTAAAATCTGGAGGCGGAAGGTGCTGCTCCAGGCACATGACTCTGCCTTTGTGCAACCCCGCCTGCCAGAACAAAAGTGCCGTTGCCTCGTCGGCAAGAGCTGCTGAGGCTGGTTTTCGATACAAATAGAAACTGCTGCTGCTGCTAAAAGGGGCCACGGTGACTCTGGACATGGTTGGGTTTGTTTCCGAAGAAGCGGAGCGGGGGTTTGAGGCTGAAGGGAAGGAAGGGTGTCTCCAGCGGCTGTGAGTGAAGCTGTTTCGGGAGTGTGAACCAGACAGGAGAGGGGAGAGTAGCTGCCTTTTCCCCCCCTGCACCTGGTGTGCAATCACAATGTGAGTTTGTGGCTTTTCCCACGGGGCAGATTTCAGGCGCAGAAACGTCCGTGCTTCAGGGGATGCAAATCCGAATCGGCACTGGGGTAACCAGGTCTTGAAATACCAGCTCAGCAACAGCTTCATTTACTAGTCAAGCCCTGGCCTGCGTTCCCCAGCAGCCATCAGGCTGCCGCTTGCTGCGATCCTTGGGCATCCCACCCTTGGAAGCGTGTTTGGGAATGAGTAGAGAGGGATTTGGGTGGGGTTTTTTTTTTTAAATAATCACTTTCCCTGACGCCTACTAGTGACTCAGTGGCTGGTTCCTCCTTTGCACGTCCGTGAACATCCCTGCCTGCCGCTTGCCAGGATTCCCTCGGAGTCCTGCCCGCATGGGTGATGTTGCCGCAGCCGTCCCTGCTGGGGCTTTGCTGGCCAGAGGGTGCTGCCAGGTGCAGGGCGCTGCCGCGTGCAGGGCGCAGCCGAGCCGGGCCTCACCTCCGCAGTACGGTTAATCCCCTCGGGGGCTGCTGCGGTGAGCGCGAACGCTTCCCGCCGATGTGACTGGGCGGGAATACATGCAAAGGAGCCACGCGTTGCACTTCCCACGTGCATCGCACGCTTGTGTGTGTGCCGGGATCTTGTACAAGAGTCAGTGAATCGCTGCAGGATTTCGGCTGAAGCGTGACATCGTGTGACTGAAGAAATTGCCAAACGCGTTCCTGGCAGCACTTGGCGCGCCACTGGCAGTCAGCGCATTCC